ATAGTAGGATCTTGCGGTATTTCAAATCCATAGGAATGTTTGCGCATCATCATTCCATCAGAGTGAAAGTATCCTACCATTTCAGCACAAGTCTGGTGCAGCCCCTTCTCAGCTGGCTTAACTAGGGCCATCTTTTTGAAGACGATTGCCGGCATCCTTTCAAAAACTTCACTGTCTTTTAGGAAACCTGAGGAGAACCGTTGAGCATTCCAAACGGTAGTATTCCTTCCAACAAAAGCAATGTTAGTTTGGTTGGCGGATCTGTAGCTCCCAGCCCGACTTTGATGGCATTTGGTACACACATACGAATTTGCGCAATGAACCCAGGAATTTTCAGAAAAAGGTATAAAAATTGGGGGAGAGATAAATTGTAAAGTAACAATAGGGACTAATAAGCAACATGTTACGTAGTATTAATAAGCAAAGAGAACGTTCTGAGAAACTGATTTTTCATGGTAATTGGCCCCGAAACATCCTGAACTCAGAAAAACGAACATTAATATTACGGTACCAAATTATAGTACTACAGATTATGGTTCTCAATTTACACGTCCCCCTTTCGCTCAAAGGAAGCCTTGTAAAAGCCTTCGCCAGCTGTGTGTTGACTGGACTTTGGCGTTGACCGTGGAGCAGCTTATTTACTATTGAAATTTGAACAAATATTCAAATGATTATAAAAATCCTCAACGTGGCCATTTTTTAATACTGGACGTTTGGAGCAGTTCTAGTAAGCATTTGATAGAGCAAATCTTCTAGTTTATGATGACGTATTAACTTTTCGGATTGGATGAGTTTGAACGGAGTTATGGCTTTGGAAAGCGTAAAAACTCGCACTCATCACGAATTTTCCTCGTTAATTTTGCAAAAATCCTCAACGTGGCCATTTTTTGAATACTGGACGTATGAAGCTGCTTTAGCAACCGTTTGATAGAGAAAATCTTCTAGTTTTGTATGACGTATCAACTTTTTGAATTTGACGGAAATGAAGCAAGTTATTGCTCCGGAAAGTGTAAAAACTCGTGCTCGTCTCGAATTTTCCTCGACGCCTCGCTTGACCCTGGTTGCAGGTGTGCGTTCCTTTCCGTGGTGTGACCCCATATCACTGCTCGTCATGTCCTTGTGATATGATCAGTTTTTTTTCTTGTCCAGAAGGACTTTGGAACCTGAAATGTGCACCATTCGATTTCCCATGAAAAATACTATCGAATGGTGTACAACACAGGTTGCACACGAAACTTTGTTTTTTCACCTTTTTCTCCCCATTGGCGATCGTCTTTCCAGCCCTTGGCGGCCACGTGCGATTCACGTGCACCTCGCCGACCCGTTACCCTCAACTGGCTACTTTTTAAGCTCAATAATCATGCACAAAAGGTAAACAGCTGATATTCAAGTCATCAATTTTTTCCCTCGACAACTCCAGAGCTAATCTACTGAACTCGCAGTGATAGAAGGCTGGCTAGACTGGACGGCGTGCGGTCGATTACTCGATCCCCTGGCCGTGCGTGCGCCGCTTCTTGCCACTCCGTCAGCTGCATATAACCAATAATGATAAAGGATCCTACTTACTATAAAGCGTTTCGTCTGTCGTTCTGTCTGCCGTCTGTCGTCTGTCGTTCTGTATGTCTGTCACGAAATTCCCTAGCTCCTGGGGATCCGCCTGGAGAGACCGGGTCAAGTGTGGGATGGGTGGGCAAGGTCTCGCGAAGTACAAACAGACAGCAGCTAAGCGGAGCCCCGCCCACAGTGGGCGTGGCGTGCATCGAAATGAGTGACGCTGACGACCAGGATTTCAGAAACTATACCAAAACAGCCTCGAAACTGGGGAAAAACGTAAAGGTGTGCATTGGTAAGTCAGATCGAACTAAGGAGAACCCAACCCGGGTGGGCGGGGCGTTCTCAAATTAAGCAGTGCTTAACAAAAAAATTGATAACTTGGTTAGGAGAAGGCCTACAGAGCAGAAAAAAATTGGTGCAGGGAGCAATGTCTAAGGTGTCCCAGCATACATGACGTGGTGGAGGCCCGCCCAAAATGGGCGGAGCGCGCTCTGAAGTGTACGGCATTTTCTACAGTTCCTCAGAAGTCTTAGGAGCCAGAAAAAGGTGGATAGAGATGGGTGGAGGAGTGGAGGTCGGCGGTGGGCGGGGCATGATCAAAGTGGGCGGAGTTTGCGACAAAAATTCATAACTCGGTTCCAAGAAGTCCTGGAGACCGGGAAAAAAGTGAGGTGAGTCCGTCAATGGAAGAGGGGCCAACTGCTGGTGGGTGGAGCGTGCACCAAAGGGGGCGGAGTTATCCACAAAAATTCACAACTCGGTTCCAAGAAGTCCTGGAGACCGGGAAAAAGTGGATCAGATCTGACTATGAAGGTGAAGTCAATTGCCACCGGGGGCGGGGTTCGTCAAAATTTCGTGTTTTCGTTCCAAGAAGTCCCAAAGACTTTCCGTTGGCGGACTCAGCTCTCTTTTTTCCCGGTCTCCTAGACTTTTCGGATCTGAATTATAAGTTCAGGACAAATTCCGCCCACGTTGGTGTACGCCCCACCCACGATAGCAGTTGACCTCCTTTCCATTGACGGACTCGATTTCTTAGCTGGATTCTATCCGCTCCATCGTCGATGACTTTCGACGTCTCTTGCTTCGTCAACATTTACCGCTTTTTCGTTTCATTTTCTTTTCATTAACGCAAAGATGAAGATGAAAAAGGGTAATAGGAGTGAATAGAGACCTGGTCCCATAGCAAGATACTATATGTTTTCACGAATTTCCCACGTTCAAAATAATTCTGGAACCACAAACGAAACTACATGAAATTTGCCCTCTCGTAGTCATAAAATGGTATTTTGGTCCAACTTCCATTAGTGTAACTCCCGATAACGTAAACACATTGAACAATAGTGGAAAAATTGGGTTGCATACAAATTTTGCGTATTTCAGCTCAAAGACCTCATTTACGCGGTGATGCGACGACGCCTGCAAAATCTCGCCCGTAACCCACCCCACGCGGCGCTGAAAAAAGGGAAACGCGTTAATGTCGCCAGTGTGTCAATTTGTGTCCTACACTTCTGAACGATTTAGAGCCTTCGGTCTGGGGACGAAGTGACTATTCTAGATGTAATTCACTTCCCTCTGTACCTCCATTAACACATTGACGACAACGCGGGGGATATATATCCCGCGCATTGCAGGCCATGTCGGACCGTGCGGGATATATATCCCCCGCACCCATTACACTCATTTTTTTCGCGCACGCCTGATTCTTTTAGAAGTTTCTTGTATTCATTCCATGGAAGAGACCTTTGACGTAGCTACAAACATAGTGGCCCATAGAATGGTCACGTATGATTTGATTTACAGGAGGATTTCTAAACCATCCGAAATCTTCAGTTCAATAAATTTTTCGTTTACTTTTTCTTTTATGAATGTGAAGATTAAATAGTAGTAGAAGTAGATACGGAACCTTAGGGATGACAATATGTGTGTTTTGATTGGAATAATCAACGTAAAATTGCTTTTGAGGTCCATTGCAGCTAGTTCTGACAAATTTCGCTTTTTCATTGTTTACTCCATGTCTTTCGATCGAAATTCCACTACTGCTACCCCTGGTTAGGTTGCGCTCATTACAATTTACTGATTTGGTCTTGAATTGGTCCATTATTTATGTATTTATCTTTGAAAATCTGCTTGAACGACCTGAGTCGGCCGCGCCCGCAAAATCACCCCGGTCCCACAAAAAGCCATAACTCGCATTATCGTCAACGTGTTAACACAAAGGCTCAAAACCGCAGCATTGAATTTGCGCAAACAGAATCTCAAATAACGTCTCTCGTAGGCGAGATTCAAATGCACCAATGAATCATGATATCCCATATACTTCACGCCCACCTACTTCGAGCTTGGATTTCGAATACAACTCTGCTACATAGAAGAATAGGCAACTCTGAGATCCAGGAAAAAAAGAACGCAGACTTTTATTCGAAGTCAACTTAATGACCGAGATTGCGTTGACTGAAAATCATTTCCTCATTTAACGCAATATTCAAACACGCTTGCTTAGAAACCACAATCAATAATGTGCGATATAATGGATTACTCGTTTTCCATTATAAATAGATATCGAGTCGTGAAATAAAAACTACTAGTTAAGGGGTTGCCAAATTACAATTGCATCAACGTGGTTGGGAATTCAATGGTGATTCTCTTCGGGATCAGGCGTTTGGAGGGGGCTCCTTGAACGTGTTGGAGATAGTAGACCTTGTTCGTCCAAGTGCTTTCGTGTAAAGAATCCTCTGAAAAGTCAGTTATAAACAGTGGGTTGGCAAAGCTTGCAACAACCTTGAGAAACAAATGAGATAAACGAAAAGCCTTTTATGGGCACTGTCACGGAGTCATGGAATTCTCCTAATACTTAAAGGAATCTTCCACGGACCATGGACCAGTGGGCGGGACCGGAAGTTTTTGTGACGAAATGCATGGTAGGTACGGATCCACGTGTCGAACGCACGAACGTGAACAGGATTCACTTCAAACCTTCCCATGAACGTGGATCCGTACCTACCATGCATTTCGTCGCAAAACCACTTCCGGTCCCGCCCACTGGTCCATGGTCCGTGGAAGATTCCTTTAAAGCTCAACACCCCCACTCGCCGAACAACGAAATAGTTGGAAAATTGCGCCCCTACGGAAAAGTCCTTGAAAAAAAAATCCAGAATGCATGAAATCTTCCGGTGACCATTTTGTAAATTAAAAATCGTAATATTCGGAATGGTGTTCAAACGAGCGAAGCAGCGTGCCAAAGGAGGTCGGAACGCCAAAGAAGCGCTGCCAAAATAAGTTTCAGCAACGCCTTTCAGGTGAGGGCACGCATCTTAACACGTTGACGACAGCCCATTGTACGCGCAGTTCGCGAACTTTTTGTTAATAATTCTCAAAACAGATATTGCTCCTCCAACGGTTCCACTTCTGGTAAATGATGCACTATTTTCCGGATAATGATGCGTCCAGACAGTTTGATGAAAAACATATGAAATATGAAAAATGATATGAATGAACATATGAAAAAATGCCATAAGTAGACGAAGACGACGAGCGCGGTTCGGGTGAAAATCTGACGCGCATGCGCGTTATGCTGTCGCCAACGTGCTAAGCAAGCACCACATTTTCGGAAACGATACCTTTAACCCACTGAAGAGAGTGCGATTTTTCCCGCCTCTTATGCTGGCCGCATGGGGAGGCGCTTATTTTGACAAGTTCGAGGAAAGACGTTGTATAATGTCTATGATTCTTATATATACCAAAAAGGTGGATCACAATTGTCATTCTTTGCAGAGACTTTTGCAGCTTATCACCTATTAGTTGCCGTTCCGCGTTCCGGAGCAAGCCTAATGAAGATTTTGTTTTAGGCCATGGGTTGATCTAGAGCGCTATAAAAAGCAATGCCCCACTCCAGAATCCGTGAAGGTTTCGTAATGCCGACCTTCCGTTGTAAAAAATTGTGCCGTGTCAGCTGTAGCTAACTGGCAAGCAAAAAAACCAACGCTACATACATCCGAGAATAGTGAGCTTCTATTAAGAGCATCACTCCCAAATACCACTCGAGTAAAACATTCACTGAGAAAAATATGCGCATATCATGTCTGCCTGATTAAAGGCACGCTCCAGGATTTGGCAAGCTCACCCGTCCCATAGCCGAGGGTAGTGCGCACGCGAAAGAGCGTTGATGTCGCGCCCATTTTTCGGCTTGGAAGTGCGCGACAAAGGCGCTGGAGGCTCACCTTCATGCCGCAATTCCATTGCCTTCGTCCGCAAACCCCGCCTTCAGCTGTCCGTTGCCATGTGACGCTGCTCGAAAAGCGGGCGGCAAGTTACGGCAGCGGTTCCATTGCGATTCAATGTCATTGGCACTGCAGCAACTGTCGGTAAGCTCGTGAAACTTTTTCAATACGCCCTTCTCTATTCAAGGTAGAATACGCTGGAATAGAAGGGTCCTTATTCGAGACATAGGGAGGGGTGCCTTTTGCTTGCTTCTTTCCAAGAATGAACCATCTCCTTATTCTGTTTCCCATTTAAGTCGAACGATATTCGCACACTCTCATCCTATCTCGAGGCTGTGCATAATCTCTTTTCTTTGATCAACTTGTAAATCTTGCAAAAAAGCATTTTTTCTGATTCCCACATGGAACCGTAATGGCAATACGTACGGTTGCACCGCTGATATGGGCTTGGATTTTAGTTGCTGCTTGCGTATCTCTTTCTTCATCTTCTCAACATGTTTCCTGGCGAGAAATCCGCGAATTTCTGCTTGAATTTTCGTAGCGGCTCGATCTTCGGGCGAGTCCATGTTGAAAGCATATCCCCCAACGGAGTGGCGTCTAAAAATTACGGAGAATAAATTTTGCTGAGGCAAACTGCAGAAAAAACAAAAACCAAGTTTTGATGAATCGAAAACAAACTTCAGATCTTTTTTGGTGTTGAGCGCCTTCATTTTATCGCTCGAATGGGTCCTCGTGATAACCTTCGTCACACCAAACTTCTCCGGATGAGTGCGCACCTGGAAATTCAAAAATTTCATTCACAGACTGACCCTCTTACTGAACGTCCAAACATCGAATGCAGTTCCCGGATTATCTCTGCGTTTTTATTCGATTTTCAATAGTGCTCGAGATCAAACGGCAAACAAATGCGACTAAAGTAAAATTTCGCAATACCGTTACATAACCATTCGAGGCTTAGACTAATTGTAAGACTTTTTTGAAGTCAAGTTATCGATGTGCTTTGCGCAGTTACTAATGCTCCTGGAAACAGTTCATCATCCATAGAAGTTTGGCTGACGTGCGATGGGTTTAACCTGAGAATTCTTTTAAAGTTTCATTTTGTGCACAGTTCTGCCATCAAGCGGGCACTCCTATCCCAACAAGTCCTAAAACTACATTATACAACAGTTCCTTACTACGGATGTGGTACACATATACCCCAACTGTGGCTAAAGAGTTATGGATTCATAGTCTCTAATCCTGAGTTCTGTTGAAGTACAGTAGAATTATTAGTAACTTGTAAAAATAGCAGAGCTTTTTGTGGAATTAATATGATTCAAGAAGATCCGATTATCCATTTATTGCATTAAATTGAACCAAAAGGAGAGCAGCACTCCTCAAAAAAGGGTTCGCAGTCCCTTATGAACCCAGCATTGCAGTGGAACGACTTCGCGGAAACTGCTTCTCACCACCTGGTTTCTAGGCATACAAAAACTGAAATCAGAAAGGGATGTAGACATCTACTGCTTGCTTTCAATTCAATTAAAAAGAATTCGTGCGCTAAAAAAAGTGAAAAAAAGGAAAAGGGGTAGAGCATCCGGTGCTTTTCCTGGATTCGTCACTTATTCTCATCCAATGAGGTTCATAGGGTATTTGAATGTGAATTTTCTGCACAAGTAAAACACAAGTGGAACAAGTCTGACACCTTCTACAACGCACAAAGTCGAGGGCATGGCTGGCCTAAGCGAGGCTCGATCAGGGTCAATCCTATGCTGCCACAAGTAGCAGACGGGGGTCGTATTTTGGTGAGTTTGT